GGAGATGAAGGAGGAAGAGAATAAGGAGGAGGGAGGAAGAAAGGAAAGGAGGAAGAAGAGAAAAGATGGGAAAGACAGGAAGGAGGAGGAGAAGAAAAGAGATGAAGAAGGAAGGGAATAAGGAGATGGAAGAAAGGAAAGGAGAAGAGGAAGAGGAGAGGAGGAAGAAGAGGAAAGATGGGAAAGACAGGAAGGAGGAGGAGAAGAGGAAGAAAAGAGGAGATGAAGGAGGAAGCGAAGGTGGCAAAGGAGGAAAAGGAGGAGAAATAAATTTCCTTGCAGGAAGAATTTTGCTAAAATTACTTATAACATCCTTGAGAACTAAAATAGCAGATTTGAGTCTCCTTTGTGGAGAGAAAAAGTGGGGTGTAAATAAAAATGATGATGTTGATGATGATCATGAGGATGATAATGAAAAATTTCAACCCATTCAAGTTGTGTAGGGAACTTGAGGGGAAAGTCAGAAGGAGTCATAAATGCAGCACAAGATAAACCTGATATATTGTGTTAGACAGCTTACTATACAGAATGAAGAGTAGGAACCCATGTTGACCATCTGAAGTATGGATAAGTACAAGGCGTGAATAAGGAGTCATTATTACCCCATATTGATGACAAAGAATTCCATATTTAAAAAGATGATAAAAGGAAGACAAATTTCGATAGAAGATGTATTGAAAGTGGAAATGAAGTGATAGGATGTTTGTAAGATTTAACGAATAAAATTATCAGGTTGCCTGTACATTAACACATGTTTAATATGATTGAAAAGGAATAACAGAATGGCCAAACTTACTCAATTCAACAATTACAGCCGTAAGGCGGTAGAAGAACGAAACTTGAGAGCATAATTAGCAAAATCTATAGATCTAATTAATGAGGGATGGAAAAAAAAGTTACCCTTAAGGGATGGGAGCTATTTAGGGTAAAAAAAGCTAACCAGAGTGTCAACAATTATGGACAAAGGCCCTTTAAAAATTTATCGATAGAGTTAATAAAATTTTTAAGCTGTTGAGTTCCGTCTTACCACTACGAATCAGCTATTTAATAAGAATTATTCCACACTTGTTGTAGAGGGTGTCATAGCGACCGGAGACATATATACCTATGTGTGCAATGTCATAATTATTATTTTTTTTAAAAAGTATTTAAAGAAATAGAAATTATAATGAGGATGCAAATAGATAAACCCTAGTATAGCCTTCTATCCTTGATATACCACATACACTTGAAAAAGTAGATAAAAGAGCATCACACATTTACTACTAACGATACTGTCTAGCAAGGAATTGAAAAAGAAATTAATATATCCATCTCCAGAGCTTGTGAATTCGCTTTAAACTTAAACTTACTGTAGATTAAGTTACAAAAGTATATGGAAACAAAGTGATTGTGATCTATATGGGGGAAATTTGTGATAAATGGATTAAAAAATAAGGAAGGAAAATTACCGTCACAAGAAGAAATGAAATTTTGGACTGATGAAATGTAAGAAATGTGGCTTGAAACGGGTGGAGGGGAGCACGGAGGTGGGGAAAAAAAAAAAAAAGGGGAGGAATGTCAAAGCAAAACAACAAAATAACATGTTAAAGAGGTTGATGTAGAAAATGCAATAGTATGTAATAATTGTGATAAACTAATAAAAATTTATTAAAAAAAAAAAAAAGAGAGGGCATTATGGACATGAACATATTTTACTAGAAGCAACAGAGAAGGAGATTTGGAAGTCAACAACAACCCTTTCACCAACCCTCCCGCCCACAACTCCTTATTCCCCTTTTCTTTCCTATGACCTTACCTATCGGTCCACTCCCTTTCCCATAGACATGCACCAATCTCCCAACCTGACCCACTTACCTATGACTTACCCTATTCAACCCTAATTTCATGTATGTAAAAGTAGATATGCATTTAATTAAAGATTATACACACACACACACATACACACACACACATATAAGATTTCCACATCTTATAATGATGGATATGTAAAGACTGAAATGATTATGTAAGGGATCACCAGAATATTTACCTATTCATTTTTCTTGCTCATATGTTTTATTCCTAAAATTGTTTTGGTACCACAGGCTCAACAAATAAACTGACCAGCCTGAGCTCTGATGCACCTGAATCATTCCTTCCTAACATTTGTAAGGAACTGATTGTTTTGGCTTTGGATGTATTTGAACATACCGGTGAAGAAGAGGAGAGCATGGCGCAGAGCCTTTTGGAGACACTGTTCACAATTCATACTGGAGTCATTGCTCTGACAAAGGCTTATGAGCAAGATGAAGACAGTCAAGACAACTGTAAGATCAACTTTCTTCCCAAATCCATGTTTTGATTCTTACGCAGTTCATTTGTGATTAGCTGGAAGCATATACTCCTTTCCCAAAGTGATTGGCCTTCTAATTTTTCCTCCCTTTCTGTTTTAGTTTTTGTGACTGATCAAGCTGCTCAGTCCTGCATCATCATCATTGTGTCAGCTTTCAAACAGATTATACTTCTAACCAAGCACTGGGGAAACTGTTTCAGAAAAAATGAGGAATTTGTAAATATTTATGAAGAAATGAGAGAAGATGTGAAACATTTGGGAGGATACCTGCAGTTGCTTTTCCAGGTAAATTGCAAACACTCTTTAGGGATGACAAAAAAGGTGTTGACTAAACCTTATTTACGTGAGCGTTTTGAGTTATGAGCCATTGCTTGGTCTGAGTTTCACTTTGACATATGAGCAGCATTTTGAGTTAAAAGCTAGTGCCAGAGGACACACTAGCACAGTCTGGGAGTCCTCTTGGATTCATCGCTCACGCTTGAGGCTCAGGCGTCGGTGGTGTCCGGGAGGGCTTTTGCACAATTGAGACTCGTGCGCCAGCTGCGACCGTACCTCGCGAAGGCTGATCTGGCCGGGGTGGTCCATGCCTTGGTCACCTCTAGATTGGATTACTGTAATGCGCTCTATGTGGGGCTGCCCTTGAAAACGGCTTGGAAACTCCAACTGGTCCAACGGGCAGCAGCCAGGATGTTAACTGGGGCTCCTTACAGAGAGAGGTCAACCCTCCTGTTCAAGGAGCTCCACTGGCTGCCGTTTATTTTCCGAGCCCAATTTAAGGTGCAGGTGCTTACCTACAAAGCCCTAAACGGTTTGAGACCATCCTACCTGCGTGACTGCATCTTCGTCTATGAACCCACACGTTCACTTCGTTCATCTGGAGAGGCCCTGCTCGTGATTCCACCTGCGTCGCAGGCGTGCTTGGTGGGGACACGAGACAGGGCCTTTTCTGTGGTGGCCCTCTGACTATGGAACACCCTCCCAAAAGATCTTAGACAGGCCCCTACATTGGCAGTCTTTAGAAAGAACTTGAAGACCTGGCTGTTCCGATGTGCCTTCCCAGAATAGGAATCTCCAATACCAAGTCCCAGAAGCACTTTAGTAGAACTAAGATTGCTGCACACTGCACACTGCACTTACCCTATAATCCTACATATCTCCTGTCACATCAGCACTTTTAATCTTGTACGCATTACTCTGGCCCGACCCAGTTTTATAGTGTCTTGTTTATTGCTTGTTGTTAATATTGCTTTAACTGTTTTTAATTTGCTTTAGGTGTTGTATTGTTGTGTTGTTTTTTGAGGCCTTGGCCTATTGTAAGCCGCATCGAGTCCTTCGGGAGATGCTAGCAGGGTACAAATAAAGTTAATAAATAATAATAATAATAATAGTTAATTTTTTTTTATTTTAAATCTTTATTAAGTTTTATATAGTACATCGAAAGTGGGGGAATAATAAAAGAAGATAGAAAAGTAGGAAGGTACAGAATTAAGAAATAAAAAAAGGAATAGGGGAAAAAAAAAAAAAGTGGAGACCAAATTATATCCCAAAAAAAGGGTAGAGTCCAAAAAAGTCCAAAAAGAAAAATCCAAATATATATATATATATATATATATATATATATATATATATAAATAGGACTTCCTTCTGATTCTGCTCAGATATCAGTTTTTGATCAAATTTATGTGTATATTTAAAAAAAAAGTAGGTTGCGGGAGCCCCACTCATAAAAAGAAAAAAAAGAGTGGAGTTCCCCTTCCCATCCTCCGATACACCTCATGTTCTTTTATACTAGTTTGTCCAAATATTCTTCGACCATTGACCAGTTCGTCTCCTTTATTGCTTTTCCTGTGTTCTTTTTCAAAAGAAAAGTCAATGTGTCCATTTCTTTTATTTCCTTTATTTTGTTTAGCCATTGGAATTTTCCTGGGGTGTCTTCCTGTTTCCACATCTTGGCGAAAACCATTCTTGCGGCTGTTGTTAGATATACAAATAAAATATCCTCGTTAGAGTCCAGTTTGATATCCTCATCAACTATTCCCAGTAGATAATATTCTGCTTTTCTTGGAAAATTCTTTTTAAAAATTTTTTGAGTTTCATCATGTATAACTCTCCAATATTTTTGAGATTCTTTACAACTCCACCATAGGTGGAAGAAGGTCCCTTCATGTTCTTTACATTTCCAACAATTTTTTGATACATTCTTATACATGCAATTTAATTTTACTGGAGTTATGTACCACCTATGGAACATCTTTAACCAATTTTCCTTTAGATCCATCGCGTAAGTATACTTTAGTTTTTTCTTCCATATTATTTCCCAGTCCACCATCGCAATTGGTCTTTTAAGATTTTCAGCCCATTTAACCATACATCCTTTAATTAGTTCGGTCTCCGTTGACCATTCTAATAGTTTTTCATATAATTTAGATATACATTTCATGTCTGTTTTTAAAAATTTATCCCAAAATACTTCTTTAATCTGAAAGCCTTGCTTATAGTTAATTTTGTGTGGTTTTTATTCCTGGTATGTGTCACGTTGCCAGGGCTCTGCCGTTATTTCCAGCAGAGATGAACCAAACAAAAACCCAGTTTGTTTTAAACAATTTAATTAAAACAACATTTACTTTCTGACTGTTTCAATAGTCCAAAACATAAAACATAAAGATAGCACTCAGCCACAGAATAAACAAAAACTGATAGCAAATGCTACACCGAAGTAAAGGGTCCAGTCCAGTGGACAAACACTGAGAGTTCAATAAGCAAAGTCCAGGGATCAAGAGTCTATACCATAGTTAAAAGCCAGTCCAGACATTCCAGGGTTCCAAGATTACAGGAGACAGGTCAGGATACTGAAAATCCAACAAACCTGGGGGGAAACCAGCAGCACCTACCACCAAAATAAGACAAATACTTTTCTCCCGAAAATCAGCAAGGTTAGCTCCTTATATCCAGGAACACCCAGCTGCAACCCATCTCTTGCATACCTCCACCCTTAATTTCTTTCACCCATAAATGCTTACTTACAGATTACTAAACCCTTTAGAACTAATATTTACATTAACCCTTCCATCATCAACCACTGTGAAGGGAAAAGGACAGAGAGCAAGAGAGGTAGGAAGGCTGGAAAATGATGCTTCTGCCTCTTCTCTTTGTGCTTCTTCTATTGTGCCACAACTTTGTGTTTCTAGTTGATCTTCCTTTTTATTGTTCCATGTAAATGTGTATTTCTACATTATTTGTTATTTATAAAGTATATTTTCTTATTTTACAACACATAACAAAAATGGGGGGGGGGGTGCAGAACGGATTAATAGCATTTCAATGCATTTCAGCTAGAAAATTTGACATGAGAATGATTTGAGTTAAGAGCTCAGTTATGGAATGAACTAAACTCTTATGGTATCACTATATTGTGATTGTCAGAGTAACTGAGGTCCCTTTTACACTACCAGATAAAATCCAGATTATCTACTTTGATCTGGATTATAAGGCAGGGTAGATTCAAATAATCCAGTTCAAAGCATATAATGTGGATTGACTGCCTCATATTCTGGATTATATGGCAGTGTAGAAGGGCCCTTAGTAATCCAGTTCATCCTACTTACATAATCCGAACTGTAATCTATATGAATAAAAATGTAATGTTCGTTTTTGGGATTAACATAACTCAAAAATCACTGGGCAAATTGACACCAGATTTGGACACAATACACGTATCAGGTCAACGAGTGACCATCATTCATAAAAAACACTGAAAAACACAGCAGAAGAGACTTTAAAAGCCAAAAAATAAGAAACACATTACAATGCATGCGCGAAACCACATATGTACACACATATACACAAATATATATACACTCATATACACACACAAAACACATATACACAGACTGGGCCACAGCAACGCATGGCAGGGGATAACTAGTCTATGATAAAAAGCCATTCAAATGTTCTCTAACACTTTAGTCATTTATTTTTGTTTCAGGGCAGCAGTTCAGATTTGCCATTAATGGTAGCAGAGGCACAGAAGAAAATAAAGGAGACATTGAGAGAGATGGTGAACTATATCGGACACTTAGCAGCACTGTCTGGCTGTGGCTTGCATTTTGGGGTGGAAAACACCAGAGAGGCAAGGGATCCAAAGGTAAAAAGATGGCATTTATGCAAAGTTTAACAGCTTGAATAACAAGCAAAAGCTTAATTCATCGGTGGTACTGCAACGTAAGGATATTCATGAGTTGTAATGCTATTTTGTTTCCAGTTGTTATAATACAGTGGATCACAACCTGTGGATCCCCAGGTGTTTTGGCCTACAACTCCCAGAAATCCCAGCCAGTTTACCAGCTATTAGGATTTCTGGAAATTGAAGGCCAAAACATTTGGGGAACCACAGGATGAGAACCACTGCTATAATAAGAAATTGAAAGGGAAACCATCTAAGAGACTGCTGTTATGCCCTTATGGGCACCTTTCATATCTTTATGGCAGTGTAGACTCATATAATCCAGTTCAAGGCAGCTAATGTGGATTATCTGCTTTGATAATCTGGATTATATGGCAGTGTAGAGGGGGTCGCAGAAATCCTGTTGCCTGCTGCCTAGTTGTTTATATTCCAAGAATCGCTTCTTGCATATTAGTATCATTATGTTTATTTATTTATTTTGACTCATCTTTATTGGTGGGGTTTGTGTGAAAGGGGGGGGTGAGGGTACATTTTTTGTGAAGCTTACTTTACATATAATAAAATCAAACAGATAAGAAAAAAGAACCCTCCCCCCCCCCCCCAAAAAAAAAAGGAAACAGAGAAACACGTTGAGATGTAGGTTTATTGTTGGAACTCTGATGCCTTAAATAGCCAGACTCAGGAGTATGTCCAAAAGAATAGTTTATTAATACAAAGCAAAAGAGACTCAGAGACACTTGCTTCAGTGTCTCTGGTCAAAAACTCAGAAGTAGCAGTACTTTTAGCTTGAAAAGCAAACTAAAGCAATAATCCGGATTATCCAGAAAAAAGATCCGGATTAAACTCAAGTACTTGCAAAATCCCGCAAAATCACACAGCAAACGAAGGATGATCAAACAAAGAGCCATGAAGAAAGAGCCGTGATCAAATGCAGTCCGAAGCCGAAGAAAGCCGAGTCCAAAGTTGCGAGGTTCCAAAGTCCAGGAAGCAGCGTCGTCATCAAAAGCAGTCTGAAGTCAAGGAAAGGGGAAATCCGCACTCATGAGAATCCAAGCCGAGTTGTAACACGAAGGTAAACAGCAACCTGCAGATCCAGGACCCAAGCCCAACACGAAAGCGGCAGCGACAAGACCCAAGGCACGAATCCAACACTTTGCCTACTGCAAAGTTCTATCATTTCAGTGCCTACTTTTATCTTACAACTCATCATCCGATGGTGAGCTGCTCTCCACTCCATCAGCTGGCTTAGCTTCTTCACCTGAAGAGACACCCATCTCTACAACTCCTCCACCTCTTGTCAAGACTTAGTTCTCTCCAAGAATCCCCAGTATCTCCCGATTGCCAATCCCCATCACCAGAAAACCCCGCAAACGTGTCACTAGACGTTGGTTGAGTACACACATCCCGAACCTCTTGCATCTTAGTCCAATCCAGTGATTCATCCTCATCCCCAATAAGTCCCAGACCCATCATTCCCAGAGAAACCCATGAAATCCTCCTCTTCTGTGGGAGCAGTAAGTATATCCCGAATCTTCTTTCTCTGTCACTCCTCATCTGATTCCTGCTCCCCGGGTAACCTTCTTAGTTCCCCTATTCCCATCCACTGTATCACCTTCCTCCTCCTCACTCATTTCACTCTCAGAAAACCCTTCCAAGGAATCTTCATCCGTGGATGAAATAAGTATCTCCCGTATCCTCTTCCTCTGTTGTTCCTCATCTAACTCCTGAGCACTCCCCTCTTCCAGTACGCTCACTACCAGTCACAGCGTTGCTGCCAGACTCTACTACAACATTTATGGTATGTGATCTTCCCATGGGCCCCAAGTATCTATTTATCTTCCTCCTTCTGTGGCATATCTGCTTTCAGGCAGCCTTGTGGTTTATATGTGTCAAGGTAACGTCTAAATATGGGCCAATCCGTCTTAACCTTTTGTTGATCCCTGAGATATTGTGTCAAACGGTTCATGTTTATAATGTCCGATATTTTGAGTAACCAGTCTTCAATCGTTGGAAATTCTATAGACTTCCATTTCTTTGCGTAGACTATTCTCGCTGCTGTGACCCTATGAAAAAAAAAGTATGTCTTTGTTTTTATTGATCTCCTTATCCAGTTTTCCTAAGAGATAAAACTGTGGTTTTAATTCAATTTTTTCCTCTAAAATTGACTGAATTGTAACATGAATAATTTTCCAAAACTTTTTGGCTTTGCCGCACGTCCACCATAGGTGGAAAAATGTTCCTGTATTTGCATGACATTTCCAACATTTATCAGAAAGTTGTTTATAACATTTCGCCAGCTTGCTTGGAGTGATGTACCAGCAGTACATCATCTTAAACCAATTTTCATGGAGGTAATAAGAGTTGATATATTTAAGTTTAGTATTCCAGATTTTTTCCTACTCTGATACTTTAATGTTGTGTCCGATATTCTGGGCCCACTTTATCATGGATTCTTTAATTTGATCTTTTTCTGTAGCCCATAATAAGAGGGTCTTATATAGTATTGTGGAGCCCCTGGTGGCGCAGTGGGTTAAAGCACTGAGCTGCTGAGCTTGTTGATCGAAAGGTTGCAGTTTCGATTACGGGGAGTGGTGTGAGCTTCCGCTGTCAGCCCTAGCTTCTGCCAACCTAGCAAATGTGAGTAGATCAATAGGTACCGCTCCGGCGGGAAGGTAACAGTGCTCCATGCAGTCATGCTGGCCACATGACCATGGAGGTGTCTACGGACAACGCTGGCTCTTCGGCTTAGAAATGGAGATGAGCACCACGCCCCAGAGTCAGACATGACTGGACTTAATGTCAGGGGACTACTATATAGTATTGTAATTATTTTCTTCTCCGCTGTCATGATTCTATCCCAAAGTTTGTCCTTTTCATTATGTTTATTTATATCCTGCTTTTTCTCTTCACAAGGAGACTCATAGCAGCTTACATTAGAAGCATTTCGGTACAATTTAACATCTACAAATTTATAAACATTAAAACAATTAAATATCATGGGTGTAAGATAGTGTGTAAATGTTTTTGTTAAATAAGTATGCTACTTAAAAAGTGTTCTTCAAAGCCCACTTAAACCATCATTCAGTTTTGGTCAAGCTGTAAGTCATTTGTGCATTAAAAAAATCCCTTTTTCAGAAACTATTCATGTCGGACATCTGTGATGGAATGGATACAGGATTGTTGCATCTTTTAGATTGTATACAGAAGACGTCCAGAATAATGCAGAAGGAACTACTAAAATGGTACCCCCAAAATGAGGTGAGCTAGAAATGTTTACAAAATCTTTCAGGCATGAGGAAGGAAACACATTTTAACTGCAAATCTCCCTTAATAGTGTTTTGACAAGCTCTACTCTCTTTTATTTGAAATCATGGAGCTTGTTGCTTATTCTCATGTACACCATGTAAAAGCGTATAGCCATTTATATTGTGATGGTGAGACTACAGATTGCTCAAACTGTTCACTTTGTTACAAAGAGACAAAAATATCCATTAAAATAGCAGATACATACAAAAAGCAGCCTTGGAATGCTTTCTATAATATTTCACTGTTTTGTGTTTCTAGTTGGTGTTATTCACCAAGTTCAAAATCTCAGTTTGATAAACTGTATCCTTTTTTAGGTGTTTCATTAATTGCTGCATCCTTGCTTCCTGAAAATGCTATAATATATAAAAAGGAATAAGTTACTTTTTTGAAGCCTGGGCCATACATAGCCTTTCAAGGGGAAGTAGTTGGGAGCAGTGTATGGGGTTGAAGTCAAAACATAGATATTAAACCTTCTCCTTTCCTCCTTTGTACTCTTTTCTTTTTCTACATTGCTATATAATCCAGATTATCAAAACATAATCCAGATTACCTGCTTTGAACTGGGTTATATGAATCTACACTGCCTTGAATGCAATGTTCCTGCTTCTTGGCAGGGGGTTGGACTAGATGGCCCATGAGGTCTCTTCCAACTCTATGATTCTATAATCCATTTCAAAGTAGATAATCTGGATTTTATATGGCAGTGTAGATGAGGCCTAAGGGCCCTTCCAGGCAGGCCCTATATCCCAGGATCTGATCTCAGGTTTTCTGTTTATCCAAGACTAGCTGTCCCTGGCCACGCTTTGCTGTGGCCTTAATCTGGTTCCTTCCTTCTCTATCTCTTTCCTTCCTTATCCCTCCGTTTTTCTGTCCCTTCTTCCTTCCCGTGCATGTATGCTTGACTCTCAAAGCTCTATGGCCAGCTCTTTCCCTCGTGCAGGAGGGGGCGGGGCCAGGGTAGTTGTTTCCACGCATGCACGGCATCGTCATTTAGGTTTTTTGGGTCCCTTCCACTGTGTTTTTCTGTGTTTTTATGAGTGATGGTCACTCATTGGTCCGTTAGGTGTCTTCTGGCCAAATTTCGTGTAATTTCATTCAGTGGTTTTTGAGTTATGTTAATCCCACAAATGAACATCACATTTTTATTTATATAGACTAGCTGTCCCCTGCCATGTGTTGCTGTGGCCCACTCTGGTGGTCATGGGGTTCTGTGTGGGTTTGGCCCAATTCTATCGTCGGTGGGGTTCAGAATGCTCTGTAATTGTAGGTGAACTACAAATCATAGCAACTACAACTCCCAAATGTCAAGATTCTATTTTCCCCAAACTCCACCAGTGTTCACATTTGGGTATATTGAGTATTCGTGTAGAGTTTGGTCCAGATCCATCATTGTTTGAGTCAACAGTACTCTCCGGATGCAGGCGAACTACAACTCCAAAATTCAAGGTCAATGTTCAACAAACTCTTCCAGTATTCTCTGTTTGTCATGGGAGTTCTGCGTGCCAGGATTGGTTCTATTCCATCATTGGTGGAGTTCAGAATGCTCTTTGATTGTAGGTGAACTATAAATCCCAGCAACTACAACTCCCAAATGACAAAATCAATTTTTTTGAGTGAAGGACATATATTGGGTTGTTAGGTGTCTTGTGTCCAAATTTGGTGTCAATTCGTCCAGTGGTTTTTGAGTTCAGTTAATCCCACAAACGAACATTATGAACATTACATTTTTATTTATATAGATTATCTGGCAGTGCAAACTCATATAATCCAGTTTAAAGCAGAAAACCTGGGATCAGATCCTGTGATATAGGGCCTGTCTGGAAGGGCTCCAAGATGCACAAACCTCCATGCATCAATTATTTCACTTATATATTCTTACACAAAAGATACAATCAAGCCATCTGCCATTTCTCTCTTCATTATTCATGAACGCTCTTTCTCTTGTGTGCACACATTTTCTTACTCTCACAAACACATATACTTTCCACCTATCATAGAATCATAGAAACAAAGAGTTGGAAGAGACGTCATGGGCCATCCAGTCCAACCCCCTGCCAAGAAGCAGGAATATTGCATTCAAATCACCCCTGACAGATGGCCATCCAGTCTCTGTTTAAAAGCTTCCAAAGAAGGAGCCTCCACTACACTCCAGGGCAGGGAGTTCCACTGCTGAACAGCTTTCACAGTCAGGAAGTTCTTCCTCATGTTCAGATGGAATCTTCTTTCTTCTATTTTGAAGACATTGTTCCACGTCCTAGTCTCCAGGGAAGCAGAAAACAAGCTTGCTCCCTCCTCCCTGTGACTTCCTGTGACCGATCTCTTCTGTTTGGTCCTTACGTTGTTCTTCACCATCCATCCATTTATTTAGTTGCTTTCATTCCCCTCTCCCTTCCTGTATTCATTTCCACCTCTCTCTTTCTCTTTCCCCTTAAGTCATTTCTGTCTCTGCCTCCAGAAAGCATCCCTGTAGGAGGCCAAATCTTACATCACACTAATGTGTATATTTAATGAAATGAGATGTAATTTATTTATTTATTTATTTTATTTATTTCTTGCATTTATTGACCGCCACTCTCAGCCCTAGGGGCGACTCGTGGCGGTGAACAGCAACATAGAAGAACAGCATACAAAAGATTACAACAATACATAACAAACTACTACTACGACATATACCTATGCTAAAAATCCGCTTCGTCTAATCCTGGGGTCATAGCCAAACTCGTAGTCATAGTCCATTCTAACGTCTTTCCACAGATACACTTAGTTGAAGGCCTGCTCGCAGAGCCAAGTTTTCAGGCTCCTGCGAAAGGCCAACAAAGAGGGCGCCTGTCTAACCTCAGCAGGGAGGGTGTTCCACAGCCGGGGGGCCACCACCGAGAAGGCCCTCTCTCTCGTCCCCGCCAGACGTGCCTGCGAGGCAGGCGGGACCGAGAGAAGAGCCTCCCCGGATGATCTCAAGGCCCTCGTGGGCTCATAGGCCGAGATGCGGTCTGCAAGGTATTTTGGGCCGGAACCGTTTAGGGCTTTGTAGGCTAACACCAGCACCTTAAATTGGGCCCGGTAGCAAATCGGCAGCCAGTGGAGCTGGGACAGCAGGGGCGTTGTACGCTCTCTGCGTCCTGCTCCTGTTAGTAGCATGGCTGCCGAGCGCGGAACTAGCTGAAGCTTCCGGGCCGTCTTCAAGGGCAGCCCCACGTAGAGAGCGTTGCAGTAGTCAAGGCGGGATGTGACCAGAGCGTGTACCACCGTGGCCAAGTCAGACTTCCCGAGATACGGGCGCAGCTGGCGCACGAGCCTAAGCTGTGCAAATGCTCCCCTGGTCACCGCTGAACCTGGGGATCCAGGCTCAACGATGAGTCCAGGGTCACACCCAAGCTGCGAACCTGCGCCTTCAAGGGGAAGTGCGACCCCGTCCAGCACAGGCTGTAACCCTATACCCTGTTCGGCCTTGCGACTGACCAGGAGTACCTCTGTCTTGTCTGGATTTAATTTCAGTTTGTTCGCCCTCATCCAGACCATTACAGCGGCCAGGCACCGGTTCAGGACCTTGACAGCCTCCTTAGTAGCAGGTGGGAAGGAGTGACAGAGTTGGACATCATCTGCGTACAGATGACACCGCACCCCGAAACTCCGGATGATCTCACCCAGCGGCTTCATGTAGATATTAAACAGCATGGGGGACAGTATAGAACCCTGTGGAACCCCACAGGTCAAAGGCTGTGGTGTTGAACAGGAGTCCCCCAATAACACCTTCTGGGTACGACCCTCCAGAAATGACTGGAGCCACTGCAGAGCAGTGCCCCCAAGACCCATTTCCGCAAGGCGCCCCAGAAGGATACCGTGGTCGACGGTATCGAAGGCCACTGAGAGGTCCAGGAGCACCAACAGGGACACACTCCCCCTGTCTAGCTCCCGGCGCAGATCATCCACTAAGGCGACCAAGACCGTCTCGGTTCCATGTCCCTGGTCTGAAACCAGACTGTGCCGGATCCAGAATATCCGTGTCTCTCAAGAATACCTGGAGTTGTGAGGCCACCACGCTTTCCATGACTTTGCCCAAAAAGGGGAGATTGGAAACAGGCCGAAAGTTGTCAAATTTAGTGGGGTCCAATGATGGTTTCTTCAACAGCGGTTTATAATAGCCTGTTTTAGGCTCGCTGGAATCTTGCCTTCCCGAAGGGAGGCATTAACCACCACCGTTACCCACTCAGCCAATCCCCCTCTGGCCTCCTTCAGAAGCCAGGATGGGCAGGGGTCTAGGATGGACGTGGTGGGCCTCATTCCTCCAAGTATCTTGTCCACATCCTCGGGTTTCACAAACTGAAAAGAATCCAACAAAATCGGACAAGCAGGTGCTTGTGTCACATCCACAGAGACTGCATTTAATGTGGCGTCCAGCCCAGAGCGGATCAAAGCGACTTTGTCTGCAAAGAACCGAGCAAATGCTTCACAGCGCGCTGCCGAGTTGTCAGGGCTCCCACCTGGGATAGGGGGAGTTAAAAGACCTCTGACAATCCGAAACAACTCCGCCGGACGGTTTTTTGCAGACGCAATAGTCGCCGCAAAGAAAGTTTTCTTTGCGGCTTTTATTGCCGCGGCATATGCCCTTAGAAAGGACACAAACCGTGCTCGATTTGACTCGCTTGGGTCTGAACGCCACACGCTCTCTAGTTCCCTCTTCTTTCGCTTCATCGCTGCCAGCTCCTCAGTGAACCAAGGAGCTGGTTTAGCTCGGTTACTTGAGAGGGGACGTTCCGGAGCGATCATGTCAATTGCCCTAGTCATCTCTAATGTGCATGAAATAAAACATCTTATCTTCAAGGTGCCAAAGGACACACTTTGGAAATTTTATGGCAAGAGACTTGTACTTCTACTGTGTTGGACGTTTTTACAATGTGTGTAATAATTCCCGTGGATTTTCTGTAGGTATACATTGTCTTCCTTAACCAAGAGATCACAATGTTGTGTTTGTTGTGTAAAGTGCAGTGTGGCCCACTAAACTTCATCCTGAATATTGTGAGGTCTGATTTATATGAACCAGGCCAAATCTTTGCATGGCTAGTCTTATCTAATGAAGTGTTGTTCCAGATCTGACGTAATTTCTAATATTTAACATTTCCTTTTCAGGTTCAGAATCACATGAAAGACAAAGCTGTGGCATTCGCCAAATTCCTGGAGGATGTAATATCAGATTGTAAAAAGGTAAATTAAACTTTTTGTTGAGTCAAATTTTCACTTAGAGTTAGTTACTTGCTTCTTCTTTTAGCAAGCACTCTATGCTATCTTTAGGATTTGTATTGTTTTCCTAATAATCATAATAATAACATATTGTCAACACAGAGAGAAATAACAAATCTATTAAGGAAAGAAGAATCCATTGACCAGGAGTTAAAGAAAGCTTCAAGGCGAGCTGTTGAATTCTTGGAATTACATCATTGTCTAGACCAAGTATACCAGATGGTTACTTCTTCATTACAAGGTATGTTGTTAAATGTATATATCCTGTCATTCTTCCAAACCACTTTTAAGAGTATGATTAAAGAACTGTATTTTGTCATGCTGGAATCTGGCCATTATTATCTTTAAAAAAACCCTCAACATCGGGTTTTTGAGCAATGGTAGAGGACAAAACCACTCGTTCGCTCAATGTCAGTATGATATGAATTTCTGGGCAATAGAAAATCATGATAGTAGCACCTTGGCCTCAGCAGCACAGAACTTAGCAACACTATAAGTAATTGTAGTGTTAGAGTCCGAAAACAGCAAGGTGGAATAATATTTTTCACTATGCCCTAGATATTTTAGAAGCCATGGTCTAATGAGATTAGATCTATGATCTCTGTAGAACATGCAACGAAGAAGCACGTGCTCAGTGGTTTCTACATGACCAGACTTACAGGGGCATAGTCTCTGCTTGAAGGGGGTCTTCTGATACCTCCCCTCCAATGCAGCCAATGGGAAGGCATGGCATCTTGCCAGGGTAAAAGCCTTTCGGTGTTTGGGCACCTCCAGGTATGTTAGGTATGCCATGGGGGCAATGAGGTATCTAGTGGCTTCCCTAACAATAAAGGTCCCCCATGACCTTCTGGCAAACAAACTAGTCCAATGTGGGCTAGGCAAAACTACGGTGAGGTGGATCTGTAATTGGTTAAATGGACGAACCCAGAGGGTGCTCACCAATGCTTCCTCTTCATCCTGGAAAGAAGTGAAAAGTGGAGTGCCGCAGGGTTCTGTCCTGGGCCCGGTCCTGTTCAACATCTTTATTAATGACTTAGATGAAGGGTTAGAAGGCAGATCATCAAGTTTGCAGACGACACCAAATTGGGAGGGATAGCCAATACTCCAGAGGACAGGAGCAGATTCAAAACGATCTTGACAGAATAGAGAGATGGGCAAAAACTAACAAAATGAAGTTCAACAGTGACAAATGCAAGATACTCCACTTTGGCAGAAAAACGAAATGCAAAGATACAGAATGGGGGACGCCTGGCGCGAGAGCAGTACGTGTGAAAAAGATCTTGGAGTCCTCGTGGACAACAAGTTAAACATGAGCCAACAATGTGATGTGGCGGAAAAAAAAAAGCCAATGGGATTTTGGCCTGCATCAATAGGAGCATAGTGTCTAGATCTAGGGAAGTAATGCTACCCCTCTATTCCGCTTTGGTTAGACCACACCGGAATATTGTGTCCAATTCTGGGCACCACAATTCAAGAGAGATATTGACAAGCTGGAATGTGTCCAGAGGAGGGCGACTAAATGATCAAGGGTCTGGAGAACAAGCCCTATGAGGAGCGGCTTAAGGAGCTGGGCATGTTTAGCCTGAAGAAGAGAAGGATGAGAGGAGATATGATAGCCATGTATAAATATGTGAGAGGTAGCCACAGGGAGGAGGGAGCAAGCTTGTTTTCTGCTTCCTTGGAGACTAGGACGCGGAACAATGGCTTCAAACTACAAGAGAGGTGATTCCATCTGAACACGAGGAAGAACTTCCTGACTGTGAGAGCCGTTCAGCAGTGGAACTCTCTGCCCCGGAGTGTGGTGGAGGCTCCTTCTTTGGAAGCTTTTAAACAGAGGCTGGATGGCCATCTGTCAGGGGTGATTTGAATGCAATTCCTGCTTCTTGGCAGGGGGCTGGACTGGATGGCCCATGAGGTCTCTTCCAACTCTTTGATTCTATGATTCTTTGATTCTATGAAAGGCTGGGGAACAGGCTAGGTCAGATTGGCGCTCTATGTCCAGGATCCGTTGCTAAATGAGATCCTTGGCTTGATCCCATCTCATGTTTAACAATTGTCCTTGGGAGGGAAAATCAAGTTATTCTGGAGTATATGAATGGCCAGCATTGGACACGGTACAAGGCAACACCCAACATAAGACACACTCACAACCAGATTAAGGAGATGAGTTTATTTCCATGGGATGGAAAAACAGCTATATTTTGGGAAATTGAATACAACTGAAAGACAAAAACAGTACAGCTAACTATAGCTGAGTATATGTACTAAATTAATATCGCTTATTAAGATTCAGGGCCACATGATCAGAGTATATTCAGAGTGTCTTACTGCACACACCAAAGCGAGGTGCGTAGGAGAGCATATAAAGAAAGGCAAGAAGTATGGGCAAGGGCTACATTTACACCTTCAGCTTTATTGATGCTGAATGGTTCAAATTTCCACCTCAAATCCAACCATTTTAATGTAATGACAGTACTTGGTGTTAGAGGGAAACCAGGAGTAGATCTCCACCTTGTGGCACAAATTATACCAATATAAACAATCATATTTCTGTGAACTAAGCCACATATTTCAATGAGAAAGAGGCTAAACAAACACTTAAGATGTAAGTCAAAAGTGTTGTTGTTGTTGTTTATTCGTTCAGTCACTTCCGACTCTTTGTGACCTCATGGACCAGTCCATGCCAGAGCTCCCTGTCAGCCGTCACCACCCCCAGCTCCTTCAGAGTTAAGCCAGTCACTTCAAGGATACCATCCATCCATCTTGCCCTTGGTCGGCCCCTCTTCCTTTTTCCTTCCATTTTCCCCAGCATACTTTTTTTTCTTTGAAACTCTTCACGTGATATGTAAGTTATACTGTTTTGTTTCCACAGCTTCATACAGAAATAGATGTCCACTCAGGTATTTTGTAGAGAAGATTTGCTTCTTAGCTGGAAATTTTAATACTCTCTGCATTCAACCTGCTTTGGCTACCGATTCAGCGGATAAACCTGTCCAAAGGATTTCAGAACTACTTGTGGACCAAAGAGAATTGGATTCTGTAGCAAGGTCACTTATTATAAGTTTTGAACTTGAACATGGACAGGATGTATTGAAACTTCAGGATGGTTTTGTGCTGCATGTTCAGTCTGATGGAAAACAACTCGAAAGAAGTGACACAACAAACTTTTGGGAGGAGAAGGAAATGCCAAAATGTGAACTGTGGCCTGTGCCCGAAAGTTTAGGAACATCTTCACCCAATGGAATACACTGGGTATAAAATATTGTTTAATGTGTGTAATGTGGAGAAATAGGGCACACTGTGATTCTAGTATCAGCAGTTGTGTTACTACCGTGCAGGCAAATATTTTGGAAGGCTTGGGAAAGGAAGACATGGTGTCAACTCCTATACTTTCCCTAGCAGGCCTTACAGACTGAAAAGAGGGGAGGGTTCACTTACGTTTAAGGGTTGTGTAGAAGAAAATGTTGCTTTCCATTCAACCAGGTAACTGGCAGAACCTGCAGAAGATCCCTCACCTACACAACCATTAAAATATAGAAGTCATCAGCAGTTTTCACTCTGGATGCCCTATTGTTTAGCTATGAATGTCCTCCTAGTCATATGGCCTAAGTGCATGTGATTATTCCATTTTGCCTATAAAGGCATTCCTCATGTGGATCGAGTGTTATCCTCTTAAGTGTAGGGTCTGATTCATTCATTCTTCCATCCAAAGAGTTAAGACTATAAATTACTCCCTACAGTGAATATGTGTTATGAGGATGGATGGGTAGGTGGGAGTACCTCTTGCCTGTTCTTTGTACCAAGGAATGAGGACTTCCAATTTTGGTAGACCGGATACATTTCCACAGGAATAAAATGAGCTAAGGCGCATATTGGAAAATCTGAAAATCCAAAATTTACGTTCATTTCTGCTGCATTAATATAGTAAATTCATATTGTAAGCACAATTGCACAATTGAAGGCGTTGCTGGTCACCTTTCCTAGCTGTTGAATCTATGGATGTTCAGTGAAGTAGATACTGGCAGTATTTATTGCTTTTACCCAGGACAAATCTATTTATTTTCCTTCCTTGCCCCATCCATCCTTTTTTTGAAAAAATGTTTTTTTGGATGTCAGTTTTCTATTTTGATAGCACACCCCTCAGCTTTAGACATGTTTCTATATGTCATATGGAAGGCTGCATTCAGATTGCTAGTGGAAAGTGTACATAACCTGCTGGATCCCAGTTGATACGTTATTAAACTAAACATTAAAAAAGTAAATTACAGTAAAGACATTACTTCTTACTATCTTAGAGCCTGCTATTTATGTTTTGAAAGGAAAAAAACCTGCTTTTAGATAGCATATTCTTCAGCTTGCATTTGAGTAAATATCATTTCCTTGTTTAGTAAGGAAATTATACTTAACAGTGTTTTGAAGGGGAAGGTTTACTGCTTTCTAGCACTGTGTTTTAAAACAATTATGCCTTGCCAAACTTGTTCAGAGAGCTTTTCATAATCATTTTACACAGTCTGGAAGGTTGCTTGTTTTGGACTACATCTTGCAGACTTATACTGGCTGAGGGTTTCTGAGAATCATAGCCATATTAATTTCCACAACATTCAGCAGAAATCTTAAAATGAATGAATGATAATCCACCAGAAGACTTGAAATGATCCTTGCCTGTACAGAATTCTTTTTTTTCTTTAACCCCCACCCCCCCCCCCAAAATCTGATAATACAAACACTTTCATAAATTTTGTAACATCAGATTTGATGGAGGCTTGAAAATGTAATTGTGCATATAATCATGTATTGTCTGTGCATGTGCATTGACCGACTTATATATGTATATATAATGCTTATGAAAATGACACAATACAGTTTGTACAGATAGCTTTAGAAAAATGCAATATAATGGGCTACTTTTTAAATTGTCAGTCCTCAAACCTGTATATTGAGCAAATGTTTTTAAAAACCTATATTAAAGTGTTATTTTGCTGTTGAAAAGTTTATTAGAGCATGTATATGTTAAGAGGTTTTCGTTAATTTATCGTTTTGTGTTCTTTTTTATTTTGTATTGATTTTTGTATATATAATAAAATTTTATACGTCATTCCTGTGTTTACTGGCATCCCAGCTGGGATTTACAGAGCTGGAAATTTGAGTGTCTTTCTCATGGCCTTTTAGAGACTCTAGGGGTGCATCTGCACTGTAAAATTTATGCAGTTTGACATCACTTTCACTTCTATGGAATCCTGGGATTTGTAGTTTGGTGACAGCACTCTGCCATTGAAGGCTTTTATTGTGTCAGAGGCGACTTGAGAAATTGCAAGTTGCTTCTGGTGTGAGAGAATTGTCCGTCTGCAGAGAGGTTGCCCAGGGGTTGCCTGGATGTGTTACAATCCTGTGGGAGGCTTCTCTCATGTCCCCACATAGGAAGCTGGAGCTGACAGATGGGAGCTCACCCTGCTCTCCAGATTTGAACCACCAACCTTCAGGTCAGGAGTTCATCCGGCACAAGGGTTTAACGCATTGCACCGTGGCTTGGTGCAATGAAGGCTAATGACCTGGTGAAACTACAATTTCCATGAAATGTTATGGAACAAGAAAATGGATTTCACCTATGCATATGACCTGAAAGAAAATTTGATAAAGATGTTCTACCAGTGGTAAACGACCCCTAACAAAATAGCCAAATTTAATAAAAATGTAAATGACAAATGTTGGAAATGTGGGGAATGTACAGGGTCGTTCATACACATGTGGTGGATCTGTGAAGCAGCAAAATCTTTCTGGAAGGAGATACTTGATATTTGTCAAAAAATACTGAAGAAGAAGATCCCATTCCAACCAGAATGTTTTCTCTTAGGAATGACAAACACGCAATGGAGTACCAATGACGACAACTGTTCCGTTTCCCAGGAGCCTGGTTTGCCCTACCTTTCAGCTGTTTGAGGCTGCTTTCATTTGCATTTTGTCCCAGGGCTGCTGCAGTTTGCAAGAGCCCTAAAGGTTAATAGTAGCAGGTTTGCAAAGCCAGTCTGCAGGCCTCCTTTGCAGTTATTGGCCCAGAGAGTAACTTTTGAGCCCGCCCCTTTTACCAGGCCAGACCTCCATTTTGGAGTCCTCCCTGCCTGTTCAGTTCTGAAGAAGGAATCTGATGTGCTGGTGGCCAGAAAGGTAGCTCCGACAAAACCACTGCAAAAACAATTGAGATAAGCTGAATTGAGAATTGAAAATAGAGAATTGAGATATTATAGTTAGATAAGCTTAACTGAGTTATAGACAGGAATTGAGAAGAATTGAGCTATAGTTAGATAGATTATATGAGAGTTATACAGTATAAAGAAAAATAGATATTGAGCTTTGAGAATTGAGTTTTATAGAGTCTTATAGAGAGAGAATGCATTGCCTTATCTCCAAGGCTAATCTGGAGCTTAGATAGATAAGGAAAGATTTCTTCTTTCTAAAGGCAACAGCTCTGGATTAGGGTGAAGGATCCCTGGATCCCTTTGCAACTTGGGGAAAGGCTGACTCAGTAACTGGTGGAGAAGAGAAAGAAGAAATATCTATTTGGTTTATCAACTGACTGTTCTGTATGCAACTTTGAGAAATAAATATTCTTTTTGATGTTCAGAACTTGTAATAGACTCAGTTACTGAGAATCTCAATCTTCTCAAGAAAAGCACCGGCAGTTCGCCCAGACATAGGGAACAGCACATCATAGTTTTGTTTTTATAAAAGTGTCTGGATGTAACGGCACAACAGCCTTTTTGTATACATGACAACAGTGGCAAGAATAATATACGCAAAGTTATGGAGACAAAAAGCAAGACCTTAAAGAAAAAAGATAAAGAAAATCCTTGATTTAATGAACATGGATCAACTGATTTTTTTTACTCTCAAAGACACAGAACAAACACATGAAGACGACTGACTGGTCACCTTTGAAGATCTGAGTGAAAGAAAATAAATTGAAACTATTAATATAAGAAGAGAACAGGAGAGATAACAACCAAAATAAACAGAACCACCATTACAGGAAAGAAGAGGAAGAGAAAAATAAGACTACATTGACAACGACACTATGTTGAGAAACGGAAGAACCCCCCCCCCCCGTTTTTTTCTACCCCTATTATTATCTTTCTTTTCTTTTTTCTTTATTCTCTTTCCATTCCAGATCTCTCCCCCCCCCCACCCCTAATGCTACTATAGAAAAAAATCTGTTTAATAAAAATCTAGTTTAAAAAACTACAGTTCCCATGGTTGCATAGCACTGAGTTAAAAGTGGTATCAAACTATTAATTCTGTACCCTAGGTCAGCAGTGCTACTAGAGTCATGCTGGAAGAACTCAGATTCCTAGAGAAAATTCCTCTAGGAATTTCTGTGTCCTCCAAGGTGATGCTGTTGTCAACTTTGACCATAAGTTGGCCACAGAGGTACGCTGAAAGAGCAACAGATTGCTAAAGAAATGTTATCTCAGGTAAAAACTTCACCTTAACTCACATTTTCCCACTTTTGTGAGGGTTCCTGCCATACTTATTTTCAAAAGGTAAACCAATGTGTAGAGCAGTGGTTCTCAACCTTCCTAATGCCACGACCCCTTAATGCACGTCCTCATGTTATGGTGACCCCCAACCATAAAATTAGTTTAGTTGCTACTTCATAACTGCCATTTTGGTGCTGTTATGAATAGTAATGTAAATATCTGATATGCAAGATTTATTTTCATTCACTGGACCAAATTTGTCACAAATACCCAATACACCCAAATTTGAATACTGGTGGAATTGGAAGAGGGTATTGATTTTGTCTTGTGGGAGTTGTATCTGCTGGGACTTATAGTTCATCTACAATCAAAGAGCATTCTGAACTCTACCAACAATGGAATTGAGTCAAACTTAGCACACAGAACTCCCATGACCAGCAGAAAATACTGGAAGGGTTTGGTGGGTATTGACCTTGAGTTTGGGAGTTGTAGTTCACCTACATCCAGAGAGCACTGTGCACTCAAACAATGATAGATCTGGACCAAACTTGGCACGAATTCTCAATATGCCCAAATGTGAACACTGATGCAGTTTGGGGAAAATAGACCTTGACATTTGGAAGTTGTAGTTGCTGGGATTTGTAGTTCACCTACAATCAAAGAGCATTCTGAACCCTACCAATGATTGAATTGGACCAAACTTCCCACACAGAACCTCCATGACCTACAGAAAATACTGTGTTTTCTGATGATCTTTGGTGACCCCGCTGACACCCCCTTGCGACCCCTCCAGGGGTCCCGACCCCCAGGTTGAGAAACACTGGTGTAGAGGGAGGTGTGGATAAAATAGGCTGTTTGCAAAGAACACTAAATACCATATAAATAATTGACTTCCAGCTTCATCTCTCCATCGGTTGAATGATGACATCCACAGGTAAGAGGGAGAATTGCAGTGGTCTCTATCTCTACCAAACATATGCTTAGTTTTGTTATAAGCCCATGGCCTGTGTGCTCTGCTTATTCACTTTCTAATCTGTTTATGAATATAATGCTTTCAGACAGTTTGAGGACAGCAAAGCTATTCCTGCTGAGATGGTTATTTAAAGTTTGTTGTTCAGGAACTGATATAAGCAAGGAAGACCTTGGACATGACTTTGTAAATTCCTCTTTTGTATTTTAATGCCATTGTGGATGCTGCTATAAATTGGGAATCTAAGAGCAGCCTTTTAACTTTGTATCGCTACAGTTTTTCACCTCATTTAATGAAGGAAATATAATCTTGAATGCTTCCTCTTTAACAGAAAGTTTTCTATCGGAAACAGAAATGGTCCTCCACAAAAAGGAGCCGTTCAGCATGTTTCAGCAAACCTTTTCTCCAAAACTAACAATATGTGCATGTGAAATGGGGCAATCCTGTCAGATATATTTACATACATTAACACATCTTTTAGAGCAGTGTTTCTCAACCTGGGGGTCGGGACCCCTGGGGGGGGGGGGTCGTGAGAGGGTGTCAAAGGGGTCGCCAACGGCCATCAGAAAACAGAGTCTTTTCTGTTGGTCATGGGGGTTTTGTGTGGGAAGTTTGGCCCAATTCTATCGCTGGTGGGTTCAGAATGCTCTTTGATTGTACGTGAACTATAATTTCCTGTCGTAGTCCCTGTGAATTGTACATTTGGTATTCTTGCGCTTGCGCAGTGCAACTTCCGGATTTGGGCATATTGAGTATTCAGGGGCGGCTCGTCCATTACGCGAAGTAAGCGGTCGCAGAACACTTTTTTTTTTTGCCAGGGGTGCAGAGGCGCCTCTGTAAATGCCCCTCGACTGCCACTTGAGGAGCACCCC